AGAGATTAGTCAGTCTCTGACTCAAGGATCCCTGGACCCCAGCGTGGGGATACCATCATCCTCGAGGTAGGGATACTCTGGTCCCTTGCTTAGGGAAGCCAGGGGGTGTTTTTCCCCCCCAGTGTGGGTACACATCCATGTGGCATCCCTACATCCCCCCACCAGCCCCCGAACCCAGCCACAGCTGCCTCCTATCCAAAGTCTCTCCCAGCTGCCTCTGGCTCCAGGGGCAGCCAGGGGGGTGACAGCAGTTGGGGCTTGGTGGCTGCAGTGGTGACATTCTCCTCTTCCCCACAGGCCCCTACTGTCCTGCTGACAGTGTCCGTCACACCAGGAGCCGATGCCTGCAGCCGGTCACCGGTGCTCGTCCTCCTCTGCGCCCGCTGCTTTGCCAACATCACCTCCCGGTGCCCACACCTGCTCATCCACACCGTGAGTGCCACAGCCCCACACCAGGAGCAATCCCAGGGGGCAGCAGGGCTGGGGCCACCCATGGAGATGTTTAAGGGACATTTGTGCCCCTCCCATCCCCAGACATGATGCTTGTGGTGCCCCAGGGAGGAGGGGACGCTCCTGGCCACTCCCGACCACTCCCGGCACCGAGCACAGGGCTGGCCAGGCAGGGAATGACGCACAGGGCTGGAAAAAGCTCCCGTTTCCTCTGGCCGGTGAGAGGAAGGTCAGGGATGGGGTTTGGCTCCAGTGAGCTGAGCCGGGGTCGGGCGCTTTGTTAGCAAAATAAACCTCCTGCTTTGTTTGTGGCTAATAATAAAGTGGGCCGAACTCTCTGCGTGCCGCTGGCCGCTCTTGCCACTCCCAACCCATGTCCCTGAAAACCCCCACTCATCCAGGGCGACCCCCAGCTCAGGCTCCAGGGATGCTCGCCTGGTTTAGTTTCACACTTGCATCCTTCACTCTGGGGGGAAAGGTTTTCCTCGCTTTCCCCATGCCAGCCTACACCAGGGAGGGATGAGCCTTGCCCCCCACCTTGGCTCAGGCTGCCTCTCGGCCCACAGGATGCCCACCTCATCTCAGGGACCACTGCAGAGCCACCCATGGCCTCTAGCGAGGAGGAGCTGCTGAACTGGGCTCAGTCTACCTACGGGGGCATCACATCCTACAGCGAGCTGCGGGATCCCCGCTGGGTCCAGCTCCACCTGGGAGAAGGTGTGTGGGGCTGGGGTCTGGCCCTGAGGGTCTGGCACTGGGGGTCTGGAGTGATATTCCTGCTCGGGAAGGCTGACAACCCCCCCGAGATGCTGTGGGGACTGATGGCCCTGAGCATCTCCCCGCCCACTGAGCCTGATTTGGCTTTGTTGATCCCCCCGTCTACACAGATGCCAGCAGCCCCCCAAACTGCATCCCCCAGAACCACTTCAATGCCATGCTGCACCTTGAGACTGAGGTCTTCTTCCACGGGGTGAAGAGCTGCTCACATGGGGACACCCAGAGCACCAGGGCTGCTCACATCATCCATCTGCAGCCAGAGCCCAGGTACCGCAGTGCCAGCAATGGGACCCCGGGGGTGGGATATGCTTGGAGATGCTTGGGAAGATGTTGGGGTGTTTCAGAGGCAGAGCCCCACATCTCAAGTTGGATATGGGACCCCTTGGTGTGGAATGCTGATGCTGAGAGGGGGCTCTCATGTTTTTGCAGCTCCCTGATCACAGAAGTGAACCTGTCCCTCAGCTGTCCCGAGAATCACGTCAGCAACCAGATCCTCATCCTGCAGAGCAAGGCCAACTTGACCTGGTCTCTCTCCTTCAAGAAGTGCAACATCCAGGTCATGGTAGGCTGACTGGGACATGTGTTCCCCCATGACCCCCACCAACAGGTCTGACAGGGACCCAGGAGATGCCAGTGGCATGGGCAGGGTGGCAGGAGGGCACCTGGGGACATTAGACATGGGGAGATGGCAGCCCCCCTCCTGCAACCCTTCCTAACGAGGACAAACCCAGAAGCTGTCCCATCCCCATTTAGCCCTTCTGTTCTGCCCCCCTTCCCACTGCAGGCCTCTGGGAACTACAAGATCATGACCATCTTTCCGACGCTGTTGCCTGGGGAGCTCCTGCCTGACACGGAGCAGGACCTCATCGCTAAAGCCTTCGAGAAGAACTACAGCACCATCGCCTCCTACTCCGCCATCCCCGCCACCACCCGCATCAGCATGGAGATCCAGGAGAACAGTGAGGCCCCCAGAGCCCCAGGGCTGGGTGGGGTGGGGAGTGCCACCACCCCCACTCAGCACCCCATCTCCCTGTCCTGCAGAGGCGGCCAAGAAGGTGACTGAGACGATCACCCCCATGACCCGCCTGACCCCCACTCCTGAATTGCAGCCCCACCAGCTGCTGCTCCTGCTCAAGCCCTGGACGTGCACAGATGAAACCATGGAGATCACCATCATCAAGTCCCACCTGAAGGTGACAGGGAAGGAGGGGGGAGGTCCCAATGTCCACCAACAATACACTTTCCTCAGGATGAGTGGCACGGGGCTGTCCCCAGCCAGTGGGTGACCACCGTGTGTTTTTTCCCCAGGTCATCAAGGACTTGGACATCAAGGACATCACACTGAGGGACATCAACTGCCAGGCAGAGAAAAATGCCACCCACTTCATGTTGAAAAGCCCCCTCAGCCACTGTGGCACCTTGCTGGGGGGCAGGGGCTATGCCAACAATGAGGTGAGGAGGGCCCAGCTGGGGGTGCTGCCCCCAGCCCCACTGATGCCCCATGAAGGCTTCAGTGATGACTGGTGGGGCTTCTCCATGAGGACCTCCTTGCTTTTGCATGGCTGGAAACATCCATGAGATGGCAGGGGGGTGTGGGTGGGGCTCCCACTCCATTCTGTTCCATCCCATCCCATGGTGGGACTATCTCATCCCATCTCATCTTATCTCATCTCATCCCATCCTATCCCATGGTGGGACCCTCCCATGCCATCCCATCCCATCCAAGTGGGACAATACACCCTGGCAGTGAGGATCACTTGGCTGACCCAACCTTCCTGCCCTTCTCGCAGCTCCTCATCAAGCTGTCCAAGGGCACAGAACTCCAGGACATACGGGTAAGAGCCGGATTTCCCAGCGTGCCCGAGGGCGGGAGAAGGGCACTGATGCCACTGCTGTCTGGGTGCTGGGTGTGCTGCGTGCCAGGATTGGCCTCAGCACTGTCCCCTCTTGCAGGTGGCCTTCCAGTGCGAGATCCCACGGGAGCTCTTCCTGCGCCTCTTCCCCACCGCTGCCTTCGAGGTGCCACAGACGGAACTGGAGGTCAACAAGGAGGCTTTTCTGCAGGTACTGCTGCCGTCCCAGTGCCCAGGCTGGGGGAGTCTAACTGCCCCTGGGCCAGTGACCCTGACTGATGATGCACCCCTACTCCACTCTACCCACGACAGGCATCCATGATGTGGGATGACCACCCGGCCGACCTGCAGCTGAAGGACTGCTGGCTGGTGGCACCGGGGCGAGAGCCAGTGCTGCTGGTGCAGGGTGGGGAGGCACATGACGTGGGGGTGGCCGTGCTGGAGGGTCCCCCCAGCAGCCACGGGAGGAAGATCTGGCGCTTCCGCTTCACCTATGCTGTTCCCGAGGGCGGACGCATCCCCTTCTCCGCCACCCTCAAGTGCAAGGCCGGCTTGCAGGTCAGTGTAACCCCCCCCCCCCGAAATGCCACCACACCAGTCCCAGCCCGGCAGGTTTGTCCCACACCATTGGGTGATGGAGCCCATCCAGGAGCAGCATTTACTGGTTCTCAAAGAGCCTCAAGGCTCCCAGCCCTGTCCTGTAGCTGGGGTGTGCAGATCTCCCCCTCACCTCTCACCCCAACCTCCACCTCTGCAGAACAACACCAACTTTGAGAAGGTCCTGGAGGTGACAGTGAAGGATACCTGGCGGCCACCCAACAGTGAGTTTGGGGCAGGGAAGGGGCCAAGGTGGGAATGGGAGTGGGAAGGTGCTGACAGCCTTGTCCTCCCACAGGCCGTGGGCTGGGACTGGCTGCTGTCCTGGGCATCACCTTTGGTGCCTTCCTCATCGGGGCGCTCCTCACTGCTGGGCTCTGGTGCATCTACTCGCGCACCCGTGAGTATCCACCACCCCTGGGGACCCCATGGTGGGATGGGGGGACCACACACATGTCCTTTACTGGGTTGCCCATTTTTCCCTCTGGTCAAGACCCCCAGGTGAGCCAGGGACCAGGCTGCTCCGTTACCCTCATCTGTACAGCCCACCTGGTAATGCCATATAATAACCCTGCTCCAGGTGTCCACAGCTCCCCGGGGTCCCTCCTACTACCCTGGGGTCCCCTCTGCCACCTGCCCTCCCTCCAGCTCCTGGTGCCACCATGGTCCCCCATGCTCATCTCCATCCCAGGGGCTCAGGGGCCAGTTGGGGAGTGACCCACCAGGGTTTGTGCATGAGGGTTGTAAGGTCCTGTGGGGACAAGCCAAGACCGCCACCACTTGCCCTGAGTGTGGTTTCCCCTTGGTGTTTCCCCCCGGCTCCATGGCGGGCGGTGTGAGCCAGGTCCCATCTCCAAACTGCAGCCGGTTTCCAGCACGGCACCAGCCTCGGAGAGCAGCAGCACCAACCACAGCATCGGCAGCACCCAGAGCACCCCCTGCTCCACCAGCAGCATGGCCTGACGCCCCCGGGCCCCCCCAAGCCTGCACAGCCCCTGGCCAACGGACTTGGGGACCCACCCCGGTGCCATTAAGCTGATTTTTTGCCCCAAATCTCAGGCCGAGCCCAGAGGGGGTCTCCGTTACTCATTCAGTGAATGCTTTGGCCCCCCGAGGGCAGCCCACACCGGGGGGGTGCACCCTGCAACCCCCCTGGGGTCCCCCGCTGCAGGGGGGAGGCAGAAGGAGCAGCTACTGCCAAAGCCTCCCCCAAGGCTCCCCATCAAATGGGGGGGGAAGAAGTGGGTGCCCCCAGGACATGCCCCAGCACTTGGGGTGACCTGTGCCCCTCCTGCATCCCCCCAAGAAGGCAACAGGCACCACTGGGAGCAGCAAGAGGTTTATTCAGACAGGAGTGTGCAAGGCTGCTGCCCTCCCACAGGGAGATGGGCAGAACCCACCACACCCCCCCCAGCTCCCCATACAAGTTACAAACTGTTATTAATAATAATAAAAATCTCCCCTATGTTAAATTAGTCTTGCCCTGATGCTGAGCCTCGCCACAGTTTGAGGCTCCCACCTACTGCCGCCCCAACCACCCCCTGGGCACTGGGACCCCAGCACAGCCTGGGGCAGCCCCCTCAGATCCAGGGGACCCCCAATCAGTCTCACCAAGAGGGGAATGTGGGCCAGGAGCATCCCACACATGGGCAGTGTCCCCGGGAGGGCACAGGCAAAAGGCACTGGGGTGAAAATGGCTGAGCCAGGGTGGGGCGAGGGGGTCCATGTGCCCTCCCAGATGCCTCCGAGCATCATCGGGGGCACAACTGCTGCTTCAAGTAAAACCAAGTGCAAAGCCCAGTCCATCCAGTTACTGGGAGAGGGCAGGGTCAAGCAGCCGCAGGGCCCCCCCCACCAAGTGCAGACTGCCGGTGACCAGGACACGGACAGCAGCTGCCTCCCGCAGTAGCACGGCCCCGCTGCTGGCAGCAGGGTGGGGGTGAGCCCCCGAGGCGGCAGGGGCTGCCAGATGGGGGTCCCGGCCCTGTGCCACCCACTGCAGCGCCTGGGCCAGGCATGGGAACACAAGGGCTGTGGAGTTGAGGGGTCGCGGGGCTGGGGGCACGAGGAGCAGGGAGCCTCGGGCAGGGGCTGGCTCCAGCAGCCCCCCCACCCGCAGGGGAGTTGGGAGCCAGGGGTCTTGCCCCCCCTTCTCCTCCATCAGCCGGGTCCACGTCCGCTGGTTTTCCAGGCAGCGGGTCAGGGCGTTCTCCAGTGTCACGTTGAAGTTTTGCTGGTCTGGGAGGGATGGGGATAGGGGTCAGGGATTTGGGGGGGGCCAGGGAGGAGGTCAGGACTTGGAGGGGGGGGGCCGGGGGAGACCCCGGCTCCCCAGCACTCACCCGCGTTGCTGGCCACTGACACCTCCGTGAAGTTGGGGCAGAAGACAGCGTAGTCAAAGTGACAGGGCTGGGGGAAGAGGGGGCGTCACCGCTGCAGGAACCCTCAGGACCCACCCATGGGACTTCCACTGGGACCAGTCCCACACCAGCGTGGTTACAGGGGCCAGGGTGTGGTGATCCAAGTCCCTTCCCCACACCCAGGACTGTGAGAGCCCTGCGAGGGGAGCTGAGGTGGGATACACCCAGGGACAGCAGAGTGGACAGATGGACAGACAAGACAGGGGGCCAGCTCCACCTCGTAGCTCCCTGTTCCCACACCAAAGCAGGCCCCAGGACAGGCAGAGAGCCCAGGCATCTGGGCACAGAGACCCCCCTCTGCTCCCCCAAACCTCACCAGCAGCAGCTTGAGCAGCGCCGCCGTGTCCCGGTCCCCCGTGGCATTGAAGAGCAGCACACGCACCTCGGAGCCACTGCAGGGAGAGAGGGCAGGTGGTCCATGCCCCAGCATCATCACCATGCCCCCCAGGCATGTGTCCCCCCTCGTGTCCCCTTCTTACTCATGGAGCTTGTCCTGGTTGAGGGCAGCCTGGTGGAACCAGCGGACACAGGCCTGGATGCTGCTGGTGGTGTGAGCTCCATCCAGGTACCACGTCACAGGGCCGTGGGACAGCACCTGGGTCCGGCCCAGCCACTCTGTGTCCCGCAGGCCTGGGGGGACACAGGGCATGGCTGGGACCCCCACACCCTCCCCAGCACCAGTACCCCCATGGGGATCCAGTGTGGGGTAGACTGTGCCCTCCAGGGCAGGTGGCACTAGTTGGGGTTCAGCATGGCCCTGCCATGTCCCCTGTGACACAGCAAGGGGAATTCCTGGTGTGGCCATACTGTACCTTGGATCATGGCATCGGTGGGGCGAAAGGCAGGTGCCAATGGCACCGGCCTCCCCACCAGCTCAGTGCTTGGTGGCACTTCCTTCAGCTCCCCAAGACCTGGGGGGACAGGCACTCCACTGAGACCGTGGGGGCCACGGTGGGGCCTGGCCCCCATCCCCATCCCCCTGCCTTACCCTGGCAGCCGCGGCGCTGCAGCCACATCCGTGCCAGCTGCAGGGCCAGGGCGGCGTTGGAGCGCTGGTGGGCACCCGCCAGCCCCAGCTGCAGCGCCCGGCAGCCCTCCTCGAACTCATCCAGCTCTGGGCACAGGTAGAGGGGACACTGCAGGGAGAGAAGGCTGAGCCCCCCGCCTTGGGGTACCGCCAAATCCACACCCCCGCCACCAGCTCACCTTCCGCTCCTGGGCTCGCTCCCTCAGCACCGCCAGCGGCCGCTCCGGCTGCGCCACAGTGAACGCCGGCACGCCGGGCTGTGAAGGATGGGGATGCTCAGGGACACACGGGAGCTCAGAGTCACAGGGGAGCACACCCCAAAACCACGAGGAGAGATGACCTGGTCTCCCTACCTTAAAAATGCCCCCCTTCTGCCAGGCAATCTTCTCCATGGTGTCTCCCAGGATGCTGGTGTGGTCGATGCCCAGGGAGGAGACCCCACACACCACCGGTGCCCTGGGGATGCAGCACAGCACTGTCCCCACTGTCCCCAGTACAGTGGGGACACCACAGCCTGGCAGCCCTGGGGAACAGGCTCAGCCACACCAGCTCCTACCTGATGATGTTAGTGCAGTCATAGGCGCCACCAATGCCAACCTCCACCACTGCCAGATCCACCTGGGGACACGGGGACACTGGAGCCATCACAGGGCCACCAGCACCATGAGTCCCCATGGATTCTAGGATGTGGGTGGGGTCAGGTCCCTGTCACCATCCCTTCCAAAACCACACCCGAACACACCTCCCATTTGCTGGGGAACCATTCACCTGGCACAGCATCCCCTGGTTACAGTCACAGCAGCCTGACCCATGCAAGTTCTGCCCCAAGTGGGGGCTGAATCCTATGTTCCCCCCTCCCTGATGTCCCCAACCCATCACAAGCTGGAGGTCACCACCACCACTACCACCACTTACCTTCTCCTGCAGGAAGACATGGAAGGCCATGACGGTGAGGAAGCGGAAATACGCTGGCATGCTGGCGTGCACTGGGTCCTGCCAGGCAGAGCGGGCGTGAGGGGACAGCATGGGGCATCCCCAACCAGAGTGGGGGCACAGAGCCCCAGGAGGGGGGACCCAAGGGAGGAACCACCCCCATAAGCCCTGCTGCCCCCACCTTGGTCTCCTCCAGGCGGTTGTAGACCAGCCAGAAGTACTTGTTGAAGAGGTCCTTGCTGATGGGCTGCCCATTGATGCGGATCCGCTCGCGCACCTGCACCAGGTGAGGGGAGCTGGGGAGGGGGTGCAGAGCAGGGGGAATGGTCAGGCACAGCACTACCGGCCCCCCAAAACCCTCCCGACCCCCCTGCCCACCTGTAAAAGCCTGTCTTCAGCCCGTAGTTACGGAGGATGCACTCAGTGAAGGCGCAGGCTGAGCCCTGAGGAGATGGTGGTGTTAAAGCCCCCTGTGCCTGGGCAGGGGCAAGTGGAGCCACAGAGCCAGCAGCTCCCCCTCATGCCTCCAGTCCCCCGCAGCACCACCCACACGCCTCACCTTGCCCTTCGTCCCCGTGACGTGTATGATGTTCAGTCGATCCAGGTCCTCGACCTGTAAGAGTTCAACCACCCTGTGAGAACCCTGCAGCTGCCAGTGCCGAGCACGGTGTCACCGCTGACAGGACAGGGGGACAGGGACGGGGATCCCCCATTCACCTTCAGCCCGCTCCTCTCCAAAAAGCCTTGCATGGCTTCCAGCTGGGCCTGGGGGTCGCCGCGCTCCCGCTTCACCTGCTCCAGGTCGCTGGCGTTGGTCTGCAGGGTGTTGAGCATCCGGACTGCATCCTGGAAAGACCCCTGTGGTGGTCAGGATGGTGCCCACCACCACCCACCCTGCCGGCCCCAAGCCCACCACACCCTAACCCACCCCATTGGGCTCGGTCCCCTCAGTGGTGCCCGTGGCCACCCACACCGGCAGCATCTCTGCCATGGCGCCGCGGGGCCGAGCCGGCAGCGCCAGGGCCGGTCACGGGGACGGGCTACTTATGAGCAGGGGTTACCCATCCCTCCCCAGGCGCCCCTTGGCCCTGCGGTGGGGGCACAGGGCAGGTCAGCGCCCGGCACCCGCTGCTGCTCAGTGGGACAAGGTCGCCGTCGGGAGCGGGCAGCGCTCCAGTGCACACCCGCTGTTTAACGAGCGGCACTAACGAAGCAGCCGCGCTATCGAAGCACCTGCACGGCGCACGTGGGACAGGAGTCCACCAAACCCGCTGGTTCGGGACGTGCGGCTGGCACTGCACCGGGGGCCTGGCGCGGGCCCAGCACATGTCCCCAGCGTGGGGACACCCCACCCAGGCAGCTGGACCTTGGCCCGTCACACAGCGGCACCTGGCACCGGCGGCGCTTCCAGCTCCAGGGAGCGCGGGGCAGGACCGCTCCCGCCCGCCCGGGGGGGCACGCCGGGGGACCGCCATCGTGCCCACGACGCCTGGAGCGGCCGCGTGGCACCGGGACACACCGCAACTGCCGGAGCGGCTCCCGCTGCAGGCCGGGGTCACCCGCCGCTGTCACGGGGCGCGGCGGTTTGCGGGGTGCCCCGAGCGGAAAGCGGGGACACGCGGCCCGGGGTTGCGGGACATGGCAGAGGGTGCGGGACGGGGCAGGGGGTGGGGGGAATCGGGTCTCGGCCGCCGCGCGCGGTACCGGAGCCGGATCGCTGTCCGGGTCCCTGTGGCCCGCCCCCCCCCCGCCCCCCGTGCGCGCTCCCGGCGGTGGTACCTGGTAGTCCGTGGCGGGGGCGCGCGCGGGGCGCGTGCCGAAGCGGCGCCCCCCGGCCCGCAGCGCCACGCGCAGCGCGCGCAAGCCCCGCGCCACCATCCCCGCGCCCGCGCGCGCCGCCGGCGGAGGGTGGGGGGGGGGGGGGGGGGGGGGGCCCGCCCCGCCCCCCCCCCGCCATCTTTGAGCCGGGCAGCGAACGCCACGTCAGGGCAAGGGACGGGGCGGGGGAGGAGCCATCTTTGCGAAGGGCAGCGGGGCGGCGCCCCCTCCGCGACCACCTCGGGAGGGGGGTCCCGGCCGTCCCCTCGGGACAGGGGAGGACGGGGACGGGGATGCAGCACCAGACGCAACGCCACGCGAGGTCGCTTAGCCCGCCAGCACAGGGATGTGGCCCTGCAGCCCGCACGCCCAGCCCGGGGCACAGGGATCCCCGGACCCCCGCAGCCCTCGCCCGGGGCCAGCGGAGCCCCCGGGCTGCTCCCGGCAGTGCCAGTTAATCCGCTGCAGCGCTGCCTGCGCTGACCCCCCTCCCAGTACCGCAGGGGCAGGGCGGGGGTTTCAGGGTGTCCGACCCTGCATCTGCCCTCGGCAGTAACAGGGGCTGTCGTGCAGCACTCCCGCTGCTGTCTCCTGATGGGCAGCAGAGCAACACGAGCTTCAAACCAGCTGTTTGGGACAGGACAGTGTTTATCCACAACTACAGAAATTAACTGGCTTATTGCTTGTAACCAACTTGTCTTTCCAAAGAAACAAATCCCCCCCAACCAGACACTGTTTCAGAGCCCAGAGCCAAGACGGAGTTACCTTGTACAAGTCTTCTATTATCCACACTTTTTATCCTGAGACCTTATGCTACCCACGTGGCTTTTGCCAATGGTCATTAACAGACAAGTTAACAAGTGCCAAATGTTGTAACTCATGGCACATCACACACATTTAGTCTAGGGATCCCTGGGGCTCAGCAAGAAGGTGCCCAGCTACAGCTCCAGCCATGGGAGACACTGCAGGGAGCAGCTGTGGAGGAGCACTGGCTCTGGATGAGTTGGAAGCAACCAAGCTCTGGCATAAGGTGTGCACGGCTGATCAGTGTGTGCACAGGCAATTCCAGTGGGATGGCAGGTCTTGCCTCAGGCCAGGCCAGCACTCACAACTCCCTCCCCCATCCCAACTCCTGCCCAGGTAGAGCTGCAGGGAATCAGGGTGGGTGTGTCCCCCAGGACTCCTGATTGTGTTTTGCAATGAAGAAAGCATGGATGCCACATGCTGCTACAGAGATCAATGATTCCCACTGCAAATCCAGGCTATATGGAGCACTCAGCTCTGCCAGCCACCCCCCTGGTTTTCCAAGTAAGCTCCTTTCCAGGCTAGATCCCAGCCTGCAGTGAGAGCAAGTCATGCTGTCTAGAGCAATTGCCTTCCCCAGGACACCTCTGATGACTCAGAAGCACCTGCCTCATCCTACATCAACGCTTCAGTGCTCAAAAGATACTCCATGCAGGAGCTACAACCAATCAAGAAAGCTGAGACATCTCCAAGCAGGGCCCAGTTTAGTCTAGGGCACCTAATCCCAGTCCTGCTGGTCCCAGTACCATTTGCCAAGAGCCCCAGCATGGACAGAGACTTTTTCCATCACCAGGTCCATGACAATTGATCTGCAAGTTTAATGTAACCAATACAGACAGTTGCAGAGGGTGGGGAACACAGGTTCTGAGGCAAAACTGCAGGGAAACACCGTGGAGCTCACAGGTGCCACCTCCTCAGTCACGCAGCTCCACGGTGGCTGAGAGGAGATGGCTGTGCTCTGCCAACGCCATCAGTCACTCCACCTTGAAAAAAGTCCTTTCCTAGACAAGAAGACCTCGCTGGGACATCCCAGAGAAGCCCAGCCAGGGCCTTGCTGGGTGTCAAAACACCCTGTCAAACTCAGTCTGGTTGGTGGCCGTCGGGTTCCTGCCTTGGTTCGCCGGCTGCTGGGGCATGTGCCCACCCCTCCTGCGCGGCGGGGCCAGGTACTCGAACATGGACTGGTTGTGGGTGGACAGCATGTTTTTGAGGTCCGAGGGCATGGGGTCCGACCAGAAGAAGTCGTGGTTCAGCGCGTCGTCGCTGTCGATGCGCTGGGCAGGGTCCAGCACCAGCAGCTTGTCGATGAGGTCGAGGGCATAGGGGTCCTTGACGTAGGCCTTGAGCCGGTCCTTCACCTTCCGCTTCTGCCCCTTGGGCAGGTCCAGCTTCTCGTACAGCTCGTACTTATCCACGTTGGGCCACACCTGGGAAGGGGCAGGAAAGGGGGTTGACAAGAAATAATTATCAAAAGCACAAGCCATTTTTTATTCAAACACCCTCAGGCAAACCAGGGTAAGGTCTGAAATAACAACTCTATTTTATAAACTTCCAAGCCAGCAGACTTTGTTCCCACAGCAACAAGGAGGCATGAAAGGGTGCACTAACGCCTGGAGACACGTGGACAAGTCAGGACAGGGCCTTCTGGTGTGGAAACAGCATGCAGGATGCTCCAGGATTTCTGGCTCTCCCACAAAACAACTACTAGAGAGCATGGCTACCACAGACAGAAAGATAAGGTGACAAAACTGATTGCTACATAATCACCCGGATGTGGCACCTTTTATCCTTAGAAAGCAAAGCTGCAATCACTAGCATTTATCTCAACCCTGATCTGGCAGAGAACACAGTAGGTGGCAAAGAAAGCACCTTCAATGCATGCACATAATGAATGTGACTGCAGGGTCAGGACTCTGCAGCTGCCGGCACAACATTCCACAGATCCCCGCCCGGGCCGGGATCCCTCAGCTCGCTCCCCACAAGAGGGCAGGACGAGCTGCTGATAAAGGAGGAGCTGATAAAGGGCCGGGCCCAGCGCTCACCCCAAGGCTGAGATGATACCGCAAATCACAAGCCAGAATTCAAGAGGCTTTTCAAGGTGACCAGTGCAAAATACCAACAGAAAAAAACCCCCCACCCTTCTTTAAGCAGAAATTGAGTGTGTTTGTCTGAGAGACAACCCCCAAACACAGAAGCCTAGAAGACTCCTCAGCCTCCCTACTAGCTGCAGGCACCTTCCAGTGCTGCTGGGAGCACACAGCAGCCAGCACACAGGACAGGGAAGAGCCCAGGAGCGCCTGGCCCCACACCCTGCTCACACTCCTCCTGCTCTCCACACCACATCCCCGCTCCCGCCCTCACCTCTGGCGTGATGGATCCGCAGAGCTGGCTGATGAGGGTGAGCTGGTGCTGCTCCGTGTTGCCCTGCATGATGGGGCTGCGGGTCCACATCTCTGCCATGATGCAGCCTGCGCCCCAGAGGTCAATGGGGGGACCGTAGTCCCGCTCCCCTAAACGGAGATGCCGAGTTAGTCTCCCAGAGGGACGAGGAGGGATGAGAAGCCAGCAGAGCCCACCACCTCCTACCTAGGAGCAGCTCGGGAGGCCGGTACCACAGGGTCACCACCCGGTTGGTGTAGCGGTTGGGCTGGCTGTTCTTGGCCAGGCTGAAGGCTCGAGCCAGCCCAAAGTCTGCCAGCTTCAGGACTCCGTCCCGCGTGATCAGGACGTTCGCGGCTTTCATGTCTCGGTGCAAGATCTGTACAAGGACAGACATTGAAGGGTTAAGGCATCAGAGTGCCCTCCTTGGGTGCCTGCTGCCAGCTGGATGCTCAGACTGAAGAGGTGAAATACAAGGATTTCCCTCCAGCCTGTGCTCAGACATCTGCTACTTGGAAAGCCACAGAGAGCAGGGTGACCTCTGAGCACAGCACGGATGTGGCCCATTACCTTGTTCCTGTGGATATAGTAAAGTCCATTCAGCAGCATCTGCATAACTTTCTTGATCTCTGAGAGCGTGAACTTGACATGGGCGTTGCTGAGGAGGCCGGCCAGGTCATGCTCACAGAAGTCAAACACAAGGTAGATGCTGCCCTTGCAGCGGTTGTATGGAGAGGCTGTGGGAGAGACACGGAGGCACTGTCAGTGAGGGGCATGGAATAAATCACAGAATATCCACAGCTGGAAGGGACTCACAAGGATCCAACTCCCGGGACCCTTAACCCTGTCACAGCTCATCCCACCACCCTGCAGCTCATACAACACTCGCTAGACAGAACCTCAGGGCATGGGAATGCAGAGAACCAGAGAGCCTGCAGGTCCTTTGTAAAGAGGCACTAAGCAAAAACAGCAACACAAGAACAGGAGATGAGGATTGGCACAGGCAAGGAAAGGGCATGAAAACATTTGAAAGCTTCATTTCATGCTGCTCTGTGCACAATAATGGCTGTGGGGTTTCCTCCCTGCGAGCTGTGGCTGCCAGCCAAGCACCACCACCGATGGCATCGGCGATAGAGGAGGCACCCACAGACAGCCCTGGGAAACGTGCACTAACAGGGAAAACCTGCCCAATCTCACATTAGAAAGTGAGGCT